AGCCTGCCAGGGCGCTGACCCCGCAAAACGAGTAACGGGGGAACTGGCTATCACTGAGCTGCATCATGGACGTTTCTAGTTAGAAATTTAACTTGCAGGTAACAGGAGTCATTTTTATGTGACTCAGTAATTGACAAAGATCAGCAAGCGCTTAACTGTCTGTAGGGTTAGAGATCCCATTTAGTGATTTCTCATGGCTTTCCTGTGTCTTTCTCTCTTATGAATTTTTAACCAATAAACAGTTCAGAAGCTAAATAAATATCCCTGTGGTGCGTGGATGGTACTTTCTGAACCTCTTAGCCTTATGCCAGTGGTAGAATCCAGCAGCACTTGGAAAATTCTTTATTTGAAAGGAAAAAATGGAGAAAATAGGTACAAAATTGGAAGAACGCAGGCTGGTTCAACCCAAAGCCATACACCAGTTTCCTTAGCCCGTCAGGTTTACATATGCTCTCAAAAATAGGAATGATTTTAGCAAAATTACCACAAATGAGAAAATGCTTTCTACAGAAAATGAGACATCTTGAACTTGCTTGACAATCTGTATTTTTCTACATAGACAATGTTTTATGAAAAATTCAAATGTACAAACGATAACTAAATTGAAATAAAGTATTTAAGAACAATATGCAATGGATTTATGTTGAACAAAAAAAATGGAAGATTAACAATTGGGAAATGATGAATACCTATTAAGGTGTTTTTTTAAAGAATAATTTGAGATAATTAACTATGCTTTTTTTTTTTGTTCCAGAAGTTGTTTTTACTTGTTTTAATAATACAACTTAACCATTTGGCTTCTAATTTGTCACTATAGGACCCTGGTTAAGAACTTCTAATAACTGTGAGGCTTTAAGTATTATTACATTTTCATTTTAATTTTGCATATGTTAAAATGACTACAACTTAATACCAATTAGGAACAATTAAAATACAGACTATAATTACTATTACCCCTGGAAACTATAAAGCAGAACAAAATGTATCATTCTATTAAACATAAATCAAGAAATTATAAAAATGAAAAGATCCTTGAAATGAAAA